CTCACCCGACAGCCCAGGTGTTCCTCACCCGACAGCCCAGGTGTTTCTCACCCGACAGTCCAGGTGTTTCTCACCCGACAGCCCAGGTGTTTCTCACCTTGTCTTTAAAGTAGGTGAACAGGTAGTTCTTCCAGTCTTCTGTGGTGACGCTGCTGTAGGCAAAGAGCTGGATGTAGGACTTCACAAACCCCATGAAGACCTCTGGAGGAGACAAACCGACAGGTGCGTCAGTACAGGATCCAGAACCAGGTGTGCACAGGTCACAGTTAGGAACAAGTCATTGTTGGACCATGAGTCCAAACCTCAAGTTCAGGTGTTACCTGGTCCTCCCATTAGCTCCTCCAGGTGGTACAGCAGAGCGAAGCCCTTCTCGTATGGGACTGAGGAGAAGGCGTCGTCAGGGTCCACGTCCTGCAGATCGGGGACCAGGTTAGTCAAACGGTTGCTGGCGCCGAAGGTGTTCACCTGAGGACAACAAACAGGTGAGAGCAGTCAAAGGAAATGGAACGGACTCGGAGAAGGTAGACGGGGTTCAGGATCTCACCGAGTCCTGCAGGTCCTTCCAGCCCCCCATGGCTTTAAACTGCCTGAAGGGTTCCCCATGCATGGACCTGCCGATCATGCTCTCCAGGTAAACTGTGTGACCTTCGTTCAGCCTGAGGGGACGACAAACACCTGAGCGTGAAACTCCGTCCTGACTGTTTGGATCAGAACTTGTCTTGGTTTACCAGAAGTGTTCCCAGGTCTTGTTGGTCACCAGGTTCCCAGTCCAGCTGTGGGAGATTTCATGAGCGATCACCTGAGCGACACGAGCATAAACCTGAACACACCTGTAGCAGGTGCACCAACAGGTGCGGGATCAGATGGTCTACTCACGTTGGACAGGGATTTATCTCCAGCCTGAAAGACAAACAGCTGATCAGCACTGTGGTCACATGACGCTGCGACAGGTGAGGACAGGTGAGCTGAACGTGTTGGTGTTTACCAGCAGAGTGGGCGTGGCAAAGGTGAGGCAGGGGTTCTCCATCCCTCCGTACGGGAAAGATGGCGGCAGCACCAGGATGTCATACTGACCCCACACGTAAGGTCCTGCCAAGTCCTCGGCTGTCTTCAGCATCGTCTCAGTCTGATAGACAGGTGGACACCGGGACAGGTGAGAATAATTAAATGTCTTCTACTAACGAGGACAATGACTGATGTTGCCATAGCGACGCACTTCAGAGAACTCAAACGCTGCTTTATCCACAAACTCCTTCTCTGACCAGACTCTGGACCTCGGGCCGATCTGCCTGTTGGCCAATCAGAGCACAGAGACACTGTTACCTGCACAGGTGACATGATTACATCAGCAAACAAGTGAGTGACGCTACCTGCTCTCTAGAGCTCCAACCACAATGGCTATCAGGTAGGATGGTATGGGCACCTGAGGTCAGAGGTCAAAGAAAGACTGGACTAACACCTGAGGACAAGTGATGATGTCGTTAAAGAGGAGGACACACCTACCGGCTGTCTGAACCTGTAGATGATCCGACTGCTGTCCTGAGGATCCACCACCTGCCCGTCTCGCACAGCACTCATCACCGCCACCAGGTCCTTCGGGACAGACACCTGAGGACAAGCAGAGACACCTGAGGACAAGCAGAGACACCTGAGAGCAGGTGCGTGCGTGTGCGCACGTCTGTGTGTTACCTGAGCGTAGTAGGTGTGTTTGATGGACGGGCTGTCCTGACAGGGGATCATACTCCTGCAGTGGTGAGCCTGTCAGACAAAGCTCAGGGTTTACACAGTTCAGTGGATCAGCAGCAGAACCGCTGAAACTGGGTCGAGTCAGAAACAGGAAGTGAAGCAAACATTTTGTTGAGCAACTCTAAAGTTGCAGAAAGTTTCTGTCAGATTTCTTCATTTGACCGTTGATGTGTATTCTGTGGACTTTTCACAATAAAAGCCTCTGTAATCCCATTGTTTGTTGTTGTTATTGAAGAGTAAACAAAGAATGTGCTCCTTAAACCCTGAGTGCGAGCTGACAGGCGGCTGACCTGACACTGGCTGAACAGGTACGGCTGCTCCTTCCCGGCGGTCTGCTCAGGTGTGAGCCACTGCAGAGCCGACGCCGACGGAGACGTCTCGTAGGTCACCTCCACGACCACATGCTGCCCCCTGATTGGTCCAGAACAAACTCCGCTTAGACTGAAGAAGAAGAAGAAGAGCGGACAGACCGGCGCTGGCCTCACCTGGACAGGTGCGTGGGCAGCGTGATGTCCAGCGGCGTCCCCTTGAAGCTGTGCTTGGCGCCCAGAGCGAAGCGGGCCGGCTGCTGGTTGACCGACACCGACAGGATGCTCAGGTCTCTGGTGTCCAAAGTCTGCAGCAGGTAGACGGGTGGTGTCATTAACGAGACTACACCTGCTGATAACCCCTCCTTCCAGATTAAAGTCCACATAGAACCAGAACCTTTCACCTGTCGGCCACGTCACGCTAAACTCCACTCACAAAATGTCGCGTTTACCGACCCGGTTTGACTGAAACGGGCCGACACACAGAACATTTATTCTGCTGCTGCTGCTCAGGTGACGTCACATCAAAATCATATAATCCAGATTACAAATAACTTTTAATAATCTAAAGATAAAAGACTGTTTGAAAATCAAAGTCCAGCACCTCTGAGGCAATAACCCATCCGAACCTTTCAGATCCATTTCTGATCATCGAGTTCGGCCTGAAGCCTGAGAAGAACTCCCAGGTTCTGGAACTGGGACCAGAACCGGACCAGATCTTCTGAAGTTCGCTTCTGATTCAGAGTATTAAAGGGCTATTCCGCTTAATTTTTGTCTGATCCACTTGGATTATTTATCCAAATTTATTTTAACTCTGGTTTTACAAATAGAGACTGGATTTTAAAAATCCTGCTTCTAGTTTCAGAAGATCCCGTCCAGGTCTGGAGTCCAGGTTCTGTAGTTTTTAACACTGGACCCATCAAGCTGCGTGAAATCAGACACGAACTTCAGTGGCGCTCGCACCAGACTCCATGTAAATTATCGCGGATTTTAGCTTCGTTACTTTGACAACTGTCCCGGGTCAGAACGGGTCAGAACCGGTCCGTTACCAGAACAGAGAAGCGGTCCTCGAGCGCTTCCACGGTGAGCTCCACCTTGCCCCGGATCACGTGCGTGTCGAAGTCCACGCGCAGGAGCAGGTTCAGGTGTTTGGTGAGGCACCTGGTGAAGGAGGAGAAGGAGCAGGGGTCCGACATGTTCGCGCTCCAGGGTCCGCGAGAGACTGAGCGGTCGCCGGTTCACAACCGGAAACAGAGGCTGGACAACATCCGGCCCGGCGCTTTCAAAATAAAAGGTAAAAAAGAAGGGCTTTTAATATGAAAAGCTTAAAATCGCTTCTAAATTAAAAAAAATATGATCAATAATCATGTTTTGTTTAATTTCACATGTATTTTTGTAATTTACTGTTATAAATGTGGATTCATTCAGTGATTTGAATCTATCTTTTTTTAAATGAGGCAATAAAATTAAAGAGAAATCAAAATAATATCTAATTAACAGTTAAATAAGCTAAAGGCAACGTTTTAAAAATTATTTTTTAATAGATTGAAAAATATAAAGAATTCTGAAAATCAGGTTTTACTGCAGTTTCACAATAAATATGTTTGTAATAAAATCTTATTAAAACAAATTATAAGTGCAGACACTCTGAGGAAGTGACGTCATGGAAAACCAACATTTAGATCTGGGACAAAACGGTTAAGTTAAACAGTTTAATGTTGTGGTTTCTGCAAACACACCTCAAAAAATAAAAATAAGTTATAAGATGTATAACTCATTCAACTTTATTTCTACAGGTTAGTCTCATTGAACTACGAGGACTCATTTACAAGAGAGACCGGTTTTAAACAAAGAACACAGATGAGGTGCAGACATATACAAAAGCATATGAAATGAAAAGTAAATAGAAGAAATTAAATTAAAAAACGAAATAAAAACATTGTAAAGTGATATGAAAAACTAAAAACAGGAACATGTCTGTGTTGGTTTTAGCCAAGAACTTTGCAGATGTTTAAAATCTCTTAGAGGCCGAGAGCTTCAGATCTTTGTTCCAGGAGCGGAGCAAGAGAAGGCCCTTTATTAGATTTGCTCTAATTAAGGTGATTTTTTTTTAAGAGACAACATGACCGCCTGTTCAAAGGACAAAAGAGAATCAGGACATTTGTGACGTTTATCAGAAATAAAACCGTTCATATCTTAGAAATTAGTCGAGTAATAGAACGTGTGTTAATCCCACCCTGGATCAAATGAAAACACATTTTCAGTCCTCTCATGGTGTGGACACATGTGGACCACAACACTGATGCAGATGCATCAACATCTGTCAGACAGAGGCCGAGCGTTTCATCAGCGATGAGAAGAAATGACCGGAGAGACAAAAGTGATCTAATAAATGAGAGGAAGCAGCTACAGTGTGAGAACAGATTCAAACCACCTCTGAGATTAGGACACACCTTTCAGTTTACAGAAGAGAGTGTGTCCACCGTGAGCATGAAGAGACAGAAGAACATGTTCTTTCTGAATGTCAGAGGAGAAAAGAGAACACAACCGAGGAGAGAATTTGAAAAGGTTAAAGAAAAATTACGGATCAAAACACAATAACCGAGAACAACCAAGTTCACATGATGAACTCACGATACACCAGTTGGTGGCGGTACTGCACCCAACAGTTATTTTACCAACCGCTATAAAACGTAGAAGAAGAAGGAGCTTCCGGTAGCTCCGCCTCCAGGGGGCGCGCCCGCTGCGGCTCCGAGGCGCAGTTCAGCCGAGTGTCGGCGGAGCCGCTGAGGCTCTGACTCGGTCGTGATGGACCCGTTGGACGGTGGTTTTGGTTCTCCACGACGCGAGGAGATGGCGACGGACGGACTGTCCGCCTGGGCGCGTTTCTCCTCGTGGCTGGAGTGCATGTGTGTCGTCACCTTCGACCTGGAGCTCGGACAAGCCATGGAGGTTTGTTAGCTTAGCATCAGTCCCGAACTCTGCTGGAATAACTCGCGTTTCTATCACGTTCGAGTCCTGCGGACAAACCTGCTGTCGGAACTAAAACTACTTGAGCACAGCATGAGCTCAGTGAGCGCTCATTAATTCGGAATTGATTCAGCTGGTAAAATAATTTGTCCTTTGAATATTTCGACACATTTCTTCCCTTGTGCATTTGATTCTTAAAGTTAACGAGGCGTTAAATCAGGATATTTTTAACTGGAGTTTGGTGGAAGTTTTTTTTTTTTTTTCTCAGAGCGTTTATCAAACAAAAAATAAGTGATTTAATAATATCACCTGTCTTCACATATTTTTATTCATCACACATTTACTGGTTGTACTTTTGTGGTTTGTCCTCGGAACAGCAGCATCTGCTGCCAAACTATTGAAATGACACAGTTTTAGGAAACAGTTCTGTTGACAAACAGTTACAAAACAACAAAACAACAAACTATCAAATGTAAAAAAGGCTCATGCTTTTAAACTCTGTAGGAAAAAAATTCCAAAATTGATCATTTGATTACATTTCTTGCTTTTGTTAATGATTTTCTTGAAAGGCCAGAAGGAATTAAATAAGAACAAAATTATTTGGAGTTTGGTTTAGTTTTAATTTTGTCTAAAAAAGTTAAATCTGGTCCTCTGGACATTCAAAAAAAAACAAAGTAAATCAACAAAAAATGTGTAAATTTTTTGTTGATTTACTTTGTTT